GGAACGTCGCCAGGCCAACAACGTGCGTGAAAGGTTAGTGAACACACGCAGTAAGCACTCCCAAAGTTGTTTATTATATCCCAAATTCTCTCAGATATTATTCTTCCTTCTATTTATGGTACGGGACCACGGACTCCCGCACTCTATCCTCTCGTGTAATTTTTATGCATGCTCAACGTTTCGATCGAGTCGAGCAAGAAATGAAAGAAAAATTTAAAAAAGAAAAAAGTATATATACGTATNAGAAACAATAATTTTCGATATTTGGAAAAATGCTTTCTCTGTTTTCGACACGAGGCCCGTATTTTAGCGTGACAATTAAAATGTTTCTGGTTAAGGACAGAAATGATACGAGATCAGGCGGAAGATCCACAGATTCTCGTGCTCGCCTCCCAATCAGTCTCATTTTAATTCACCTGCGATTCGGTCCCTGCCGCCCCCTCCCCCCTCTTCTTCTCCCCAGGCATGCTACCACCACTTCTTCTTCTTCTTCTTCTTTTTCTTATTTTTCTTTTTTTTTCTTTTTTTTTTTTTTTTTTAAAAGGTACAAGCACATTTTTCTATGCATCGTTGCATCGAGTTCTAGACTCTTTGTTATCTTCTTTAATATCGATTCTTCTTCTTCTTCCCCTTTTTTTCGAATTTCTATTTTTTTTTTTTTTTAAATTATTGTTACGATTATTATATTATAGATCTCTCTCTCTTTCTCTCTCTCTCTCTCTAATATGTTTCGCGATTCGAAACGAGAACGACATCCTCTTTGTATATAATTCAGATTCGTTTCTTTCAGACTCGACAATCTTCTTCCGAAGATCATCTCTCTTCCTCCCTCCCCCTCGCCCCATTCCATCCCGTCTCCACGTCTCCACGACTCGTCGTTCACCCAACCTCCTTCCCTCCCCCGAAAAGAAATCCCCCTCCCGAAATTCTGAAAATTGTTTTCCAGGTAAATAACTCGGGACGAAGTCCGGGTGTCCACCCAGCGCGTTTCAATCCTGATCATTCTCTCCATGCGATTTCTTTTACTTCACTTCTCTTTGTTCTATGTGCAAAGAATACGGGCCTTCGAGAAAGAATTGGAAACCTGATTTCTGTCCATAACCACAAGTTTTCATTCGATCAGACAGATGTATAGCGATCTGCGTGTGTTCAACTCGATGAAATCGCAACTTGAATTCGATTCGGATAGATTTCGAGAAATTATAATATATAACGGGAAGTCGAAACTGTATATTTCTCTCTCTTATTTCTTTCTTTCTCTCTCTCTCTTTTTCTCTCTCTTTCTCTCCTTTCTACGAAGATTCCTCCGGTACATCGACTTTTCGTTTCCTTATTCGAACGAAAGATCGTCGTCGATTTCACTGCTGTCGAATCGTCGTGCGCGCTCGATCCAAAGGACAAAATATACACGCACATACACACAGACACACACACACATATATATATATCGCCCACGTCAGGTGATTAATCGAGTATTGTTATTGCGCAACTGTTGTTCGAGCGCCGAGGACGAGGATGATGATCCCGATGTGAAGGCACAAAGGGAGAAAGAGAGGCGGCAGGCGAACAATGCTAGGGAAAGGTAAGAGAATCCGACGAAAGTGTGTGCAGTGAACTCATGGCGAATCTCCGCTGGCCCCCCCCCTTCGCGTCGAGCGATTCGAGGAGAGTTTGGCCCGTATTCTATGTATATGTGACACAAAAGAGGCGATCAATCGCAGATTTTCAACCCCTTTCTTTCTCTCTTGCGAACGGTATCTCTCTCAAAGAGCAACGCGCGCAAAAATTTCCTTCCTTCCGATTCGAGGGAGAGATATTTTTATTAATTTTTATTAAACGCACACCGGTGAGAGATCCAGGTGGATGGGAACCCGTTTGCAAAAGGAAAAGTTAAGGAAAAGTGTTGAAAAAGTTTATCCGTTGTGAATTTCCGAATTTGCGAATCGACTCGAGCAAAAAGTTGATCGAAGTTTTTTTTCTTAATCTCCCTCCCTCCCTTTAGGATACGTATCAGAGACATCAACGAGGCGTTGAAGGAGCTCGGTAGAATGTGCATGACGCATTTAAAAACGGACAAACCTCAGACGAAGCTTGGTATCCTGAATATGGCTGTCGAAGTGATCATGACGTTGGAGCAGCAAGTCAGAGGTACGCGAAATTTCTTCTTCCTTTTCGAGAAAGAAGAAGAAGAAGAAGATTTCTTGATATCAATATCAATATTAATAATGGAGGAATTCTGGCAATATATATTTATTTCCTCTTCTTTTACAGAACGAAACCTCAATCCAAAGGCAGCGTGTTTGAAGAGAAGGGAGGAAGAGAAGGCAGAGGATGGACCTAAACTACCCGGCCATCTGGCGGCGCACATAGCTCATCCTCATCCCCACCCCCACGCGCATTCTCAACCCCCTTTCTCCGCGATGCCTGTAAATATCTTCTTTCACCGATTAAAAGATGAGCGTAACACAGAGGGTAGGGGGGGTGAAACACGTATTTCTAATTAAGGATGTAACGATGTTGCAGGGCCCGCCGCCTCCGCTTCAACACAATCCATCGCAGCCACAGTAGCAGCGGCTCAGTGGCGGTATGAT